CATTAATTGATTGAGTATTTTAACGTAATACGTTCTCAAATGTTACTTAGATTAATGAACAATGAATTGTTGAAAACAATAAGACATTACGCGAATTAAGTCTACAAATTATTGTTCATTGTTTAATCCCAAAAATCAAAAGGGCCATTGGAATTTGGACATTATGTTAATGATGTAGAATAGTTTCGATGATTTATCTTCAACGATGCGTCTTCCAACGGCACGTTTGAATGATTCAACCTAATTTATTCAAACGACCATAGGATACACATTTGCCATTTGGTCAACACGTGCAACTGGTCAGCTTTTGTATTTGTGTATACACAATTATATACAGCTAGACAGTATTCTTTTTAGTTTCCTTTCCCCCGTAATTGTTATTACATTATTTAATTACATTCAAGTCTTATATAAGTCAAAGAAACATATACTTCAACCTTACTCTTCGATCTCTTACGCAAATTCCGTTTATCGATTCTAGTAACAAAGTCTACCAACATTATTTTCCATTTTTGAACAAGATTATGCAATGGGCTTATCTCAAAAAGATAACAATTATTTTGTTAACGCGAACGAACAGTAAGGTTTACTATTGGAAAGAAGACGCCATTTTGTTTTTCAATATCTATTTTTCTTCCTTAATTCTAAACAATTAGGTTATGTCATTAGATACATAAGTTAACAAAAAGTATCTTTGAGTATAGCAGTATATTTCTCGCTTACGATTGACGATATTATACCTAAAATGTTAGACCAATTACAGGAAGTTGTGAAAGAACAGTTGAACGTCTCAGATGCGCAACGCGATTACGAATAGGTAAATATTACAAATATTAGCTAGATACTGGTTTTTAATGAAAGATAATTATTTCCTACAATACGCGGCAATTTATCGATGCGAAATTATAGACGTTAATGTAGCAATTTCTCGTAAGGCACCATTTTGGCCTCGGGCACGTGGAGAAATATGAAGATGAAAGAAAAAATGAATTAATTGCAGTATCGCGTATGCACAGATGTTTCATCGTCAAGTCTTCTCGAGTTTAGAATAAAATTGAGGATAGAAACATATACCTGAGCAAAAGAAAAATGAAAGTTATCGACATTTTCTTGTTCCGTCAGAAAGCTAACCTTAAAATGTAGAATCTTTTAGAAAGGATAGGAATGTAGGGACGTTGGGGATCGTTCAAAGGAAGTATTCGAGGTCAAAGAGGGTAAAAAATGTGAGGCGTTAAAGAAAGGCAAACTGGCGCTGCGCGAGTAGCCCGTCGGTGGAGCCGCAATTGCGCTGTGCGCTGTAGGCGTGTCCAGTGGGCGGGGTTAGCCGCCATTTGCAAGCTCCGGCAACGCCCATTGGAACCGCCTCTAAAAACAACGATCGAACGTGGAGTCGTGAATGCCTGAGTAGAGGTACCCTAAACGGATTACCTCGTTCCACGGCCGTCCCTTTCTGCATCTAAAGAGCAAACTATCCGCGTCGTCGCCGATCGATCGGTTCGTTCGTTCCTCGACCCCCTCGACCCCACCCCTAATCCCTTGTCCCTTCCGCCACCTCCTACCTCGCACACCATCGTTCCTATACTATTTTACCCACGTACAGTGCCAGCGGCACGGGCTTGCGCGCGCGCGCGCGCACGCTCATACCTATCTAAATACGTACACACATATACACAGAAATGCGAGTTACGTTACTAGCTCGTACTAGCCCTCGAAGCCCTGTACCCTCCATCCGTCGTTGCCCCTCATGATTCTTCCAAAGCCGCAGCACCAAGATACATGCCGTCGTGATTTTCTCTCTTATTAGACCGCTAAACTGCAACCGCTTTCCTACGTGCTATTTGGGATATCGTTGCAGGTGACTCTAACAAATATGGCGCGTTACCGTTTTCTTCTACCAAATATGTTGACAGGATTTGTATGCTTTATACCTTGCGACATTATTTACAAATGGGTTTCTGATAATAGGATGATATGATGTTTAGGAAGAAGAGGTCAAAATCAGTCTCTACTAAAGGGATCATTAAAAAATACATTCAATGGCGTCGATAACTTTCTAAGGGAGTCTTTGTAGTTGCTATATGCGAATCCTCATGGGGTGGTTATGCATGGAATGTAATAACTGGGCTCATCCTACCATGGGGGGTTACCATATTCCAAAAGTAATAATACGCCATAGGCACTGCTGTAGGTTTTCTAGCGAGAAAACGACAGATGTTTTATAAATGAGTAATCACGGTAATGTCGCGCTGTTACATTTTTTTACATTATTTGATAAAATTTTCAATTTAACTGGATGCAAACGGACACGTTGTCGGTATATTGCGTAAGCTTTTCAAATTAAACTGTACAAATCAAAGTTCGAATGTTAGATTATCACAGTCAACAGAATAAATGAGATACGATCTCCGAACTCATCAGAAGTCATACGAGCTGACGAATTATCATTGGATAGAGTTTTCCATACTACAAGACTCCTAAGTTTCTATCATCCTAAAGAATGACGGAATTGTGCGTTAGGTATCATCGCAAGTGTGTAGACCCTCGCGGTCATATGAAGAAAGTTTTCGATCTAGAGTCAAAGGAAAACGTTGCTCGTGTGTCGCTAGAAACTTAGCAACACTTTCTCGACCCACATTCCTTTGAAGAATGCGTCCAATTTCGATAACATTCAAACCCGTTAATCGATCCTATCTGTCATACATGTATTCGCATTTCGATCAAATTCGAACAGTAGACCCATACACATACGTACACTGTTTGCCATCTTATAATTGCAGTAAACTAGACCTAAGAAAGAGCAAACACGTTATCAGCAACTCAGGTTTTCAAACCCGATGGATAAACAGATAGAGCGCAAGGGGACTTGGTTTTGGCGCAAGCGTACTGATGGTCATCATCAAAGTTCCAGCGCATAAGCGCGAAACGATCTTCGGTGCAAACAGTTAAAGGAAATGGGAATATCGATTTAGCGATCTTTAGCGTTCATTAGTGAACACCAATGTGTACTATATATAGAATGGTGGACGGTTAGCTGAACTGGCATGTCGGTCATATGTAAGAGTAGTCTTTAAACAGTACCCATCGTCCATTGCAGTATCGTTAAGGTAACAAGAAAGATCGTTCTGTAATTTAGATTCCAACTGGATCGATAGATCGATCGATCTATTGGTCGATCAATCGATCGATCGGTCAGGAAACCAAGTGCTGACTAGAAAGAAGATTTAAAAGGATTAGAAAGGGAAGAAGGGAATGAACCGCGCCCACGTAGATAAATCGGTGAAAAGGCAAAGAGGTGGCGTTGTTATCGGTCGGAGGGGGACTACCCGGAGAGTGAAAAAGATAACAAAAAGAAGAGAGCAAGAGAGAGAGTGAGGAGAGAGAGAAAAGAGAGAACGACATCGAGTTAGTAGTGTTGGTCGTTGACGTTGGCGTTCGTAGACAATCGTTAATTTTCGTAGGAAGTCGGGTTTGCGAGGCGGGGTTTAGGCGGGGTCGATACGCGACCGAGCGCGTTTTCTCTTTGCTTCCGTACAGCGTCGTTCTAATCGCAGAGCCGTATCGAAAAGCGAACAGCAGACGACTATACTCGGCTAGTATTGCCGTTGCTCGGCGCCACCGCCGACGCCACTGTGTGCTCGCGATTCTCGTCCTCTCCCTGAGAAGAGTGAGTACAACTACTTTCTCGATTCTCATCGCGATATCTCGCGTATCGGCTCAACCTTTCTTTCTCTCTCTCTCCCTTCTTAGGGACTAGGATCGAGCGTTGCCAACAGATTAAACAGAGAAGAGAGGGAGGGTGGGTGGTAGGGGCTAGCCAAAGCGAGAAAAAGATAGATAGACAAATAGATAGCTAGATAAAGATAGAAAGAGAGTTGGCCAGCAGAGAGAGAGTAAACTGTGCGGGGAATAGTCAACGCACAGTATTTACCGAGGCTACACTCTTTCTCGTCTACTCTCCGCGTTGCTACGTAGATCTCACTCTGTGCCAGGAGGGGAAAGGAAGGGAAGGGAATGGGTGGGGGTTTGGGGTGATTGAGGTGGGAGGGTTGGCCGAGGGTCTGAGGGGAATTTTAGGTATAGTAGGAGGAAAATTGCGAGCGCGAGGGTTCGGTGTGCGCGCGCGCGTGAGCGCCCTTTAGCCCACCGCCACCGCCACCGCCGTCACCGTCACCGTTCACGTCGTTCGATCGTCTCCTCGGCCGGCGNCGTCGCGACGTCGACGTCGACGACGACGAGGACGAGGACGAGGACGACGAGGACGACACAAACGACGACACAGACGACGACACAGACGTGACAGGGACAAGGACAGGGGACATTACAGATTCCAGGATTAGAGTCGGTGCATTATTTAGAGTTCAGTCGACAATTGAGAAAATTTCGATCTGTCCGCCGTGAGATTTTTTAACCAATGTCGGAAGTATTTTTTCTATCGGGGCAGGAGGAATGGGGGTGTGTCGGCGGGGGGTATGACAAGGAGGAAGAAGAAGGATAATATCGTTAGTTCGTAATCTATCGGTGAGGAGAGCTCTCAGTGCTACTACTTTATTTTTTTGGAAAAAGAGAAACGTTTAAAGTCGCCAGAAGAGGAAGAAGAGATCGTGTTCACGGACAACAGAGGAGGTGATCGTCGACAGCAACGAAACAGGGACAACAACAACGAGTTGCGTTGGAAGGTAAGAAAGGATAACGATGGTGGATGGTGTTGGATGAGGAAGAGGAAGAGAAGGAGGAGTGGTGGAGAAAGAAAGGAAGGAGGAGGTGATTGCTAGGGAAAAGAAGGGAGGGAGTAAAGGCAAGCACAATACAGTAGTAGTCCTCTCTCTTCCTCTCTGTTTTCTCGGTGACGATGACGACGACGACGACAGTGACGACAGTGACGACAGTGATGGTGGCGGGTGGTGGAGTGACGATGGTGGTGGTGGCGGTGGTGGCGGAGAGCAACGTTGCCACCTCCTCTCCTCGGGTGGCGCAGCACACGCGAGAGAAGCGCCGATACGGTGACGGCAAGCGAGAAGACCGTCGTTGCCACGTCCGCCGCTCTCTTGTGCGCGCGCGCGCCCGCGCACTTCTTCTTCCCTCTTTCTCTTTTAACTCTCTTACTCTTATTCCGTTTCTACTACTCTACCTTTTGCGATGCGTTCTTCGTCCTATCTTCGAGTTCTCTCTCTCTCTCTCTCTCTCTCTCTCTGTCTTTCTCGTTTTCACTCCCGGCGCCACCTCCTCCCACTAGCCTTGTATACACCGTATAGCGTATACTCTTGGCATAATACTTAACCCACACACATACATAGATACATATATACATACATACTTATACAGAGTACAAACCAGCGTTCTCTTAGGCTGTCGTGCGTAGCACGCCTGTAACTCTCCTCGACCACGCGATATCTTCGTGGTAGTCGTGCGAGTAGCCTTCGTAAGATTATATGTGCCTTATGTTAGTATTCGTCGGTAGCGGTGTGGGATCCCGTTGCTACGCCAGTAGCGTCGACAGCGTAGACGTTGCACTCTCTCTTTCTTTCTCCCATTCGTTCTCTCTTTTACTCTTTTCTACTCGTTCACTTCTTCTTTTGCAAGAAGAGATATTGAGAGAGGGAGAGACAAAAGGAAAAAGAGAGAGAGATAAAGAGATATATAGATAAACTGTGTGCAAACCGCACCGGTCCTATTGGTGTCGCTCCTATTGGTCGAGCAACAGTAACAGTAGCAGCAGGCAGGAGAGGACGATGACGGAACGCAAAAGTGCTGAGGATCGAGGTAATCGTCAACACGCGCGCCAACGGGCACGACCACTCATGTGGCACCTACCAAATTACATATATATATATATACATTTGTTTTTTTCACAATTTCTTGTTTGCATTGGGTAGCAATTTATCCCTGAACATTTTTCATCCTTGTTTATTTCTCTTCTTCACTTCACGTGATATATTCGCAAAAGGTGCGTGCTGTAAGAGTTGGTCCGAGGGAAAAGGAGGGCTCCCCTCTTGCCCTCCAATCTCATCTCGCGTCCCTTCCTTCCTTTCCCGTTGGTTCGTGAGCACGCGCGCGCGCGCACGCGCTCTTTCTTCCTCTCTCTCTCTCTTCTTTCTCTTTTTCTTTCTTTAGAGAGAAAAAGAGAGACAGAGAGAGTGGCACTCTATCGCGCACGGCCTTGGCGGATCATTCACGAACTGGATTCGCCTTTGCGGGGATTCGAGTGTCGCTGTCCCAAGACTCTCTTACCGATCGCAGGTGGTCGACTTTCCGCAAGCATGTCTCTCTCTCTCTCTCTCTCTCTCTCTCTCTTTTTCATTTTTATGTTTTTTTTCTGTTCTCTTCTCTTCTCTTCTGCCACGTGATTCCCCCATTGGTGTTGCTGTTTCTTCATCTTTTCGATCTTTTTGGGTTGCACGGTTGTCAAAAATACACGTGGGACAAAAATAACCTATAAAATATGATGAAAAAATATTACAACAAAAAATTGGCGCAGAAGTTTACGATTAACTTGACGTATAATTGTAAATTTGTAGATAATTTTGTGTATTACATTTTCATCGTCACGGATTATTCGACTCAAAACCGGAATATATTATCTATGATCATAAATATATATTTATACATGTCTTTTTGTTAAGTAGTAACATAATAAGTTGAACTAACTATAGGAAATTTAGCGTACGGCTCTGATAAAAACTTGAGATAGTATGCTGAACGATAATACGTGACGATGAAGAGGTGGGCGCGCGCGCGTGTGAGCTCACAAGCGAGTTGGAAGGTCGTCCCAATAGAAGAAGAAGAAGAAGCAGAAGAAGAAGAAGAGTTAGCAATGTTAGAGCATTGAAGATGAAAAATGATGACGATGACGATGACGATTGACGATGACGACAAATATGCGACGGAACAATGAAAATGACAAAGTAGAAGATCGTTTCGTTGGGCAGAGTATTTGTTACGTCACTCGTAAAACACAACGCGTGCCGCAGATACCGATTCTTATTTGTGTATGTGTGTGTGTGTGTGTGTGTGTTACGTCATCCTATCCTTAGAATCCAACCCAACGACGAAGATGTACAGAGCTAGAGTTAGAAAAGACAACAGTTAACTGTGTCGTTCAATCACAAATCTTGCGTTTATTTTCAGCCATATTAAAACCTGACGATGAATTTCCTTTTTGGGAATCATCAGTTTTGATTTTTTGCAGTGTTACCTTTCTTTAGAATTGGAAATAGGTTAAACTTGAGTTACCATTTATTTACATAATTTTATAAATAATCGTGGGGAGTGAACAGGGTCAGAATTAGCATGGGGATAAAATGACAATCATGGCTACCATTTTCTAATTGATTGAATACACCTACCTAATCATTTTATTATTTTCAAATTTAGAGTACCAAACATGAATACCATAACCAATAAACCTAGTGGTCAATTTAAATCTTGGTTGGTACCGTGTCATCTATTTAAACATAACCCCAAATATTTGAAAACAAAACAAGGACAAAAACGTATTAGAAAATGAACGAGGGAATATGGGGGTATAGAAAAAAGAAGAAAAACATATAAATAAAGAAGAGAAAGAAGAGAAAGAAGAGAAAGAAAGAAAGAAGAGAAAGAAAGAAAGAAGAGAAAGCTCATCCCCTTTAAGAGATAGACCTTAAAGTTCGAACGCGTGCACGTTTTCTCTCTTCTTCGGTTTTCGTGAGAGATTTCTCTATTCTTAGCCATCCGGTGTGTCGGTGTAGGTTTCCGATCTACGCGAAAAACTTGGCGTAACGAGCGTGACGCGCGTGTGCAAGCGAGCAAACGAACGAACGAACGAACGAACGAGCTAACCAACCCAACCAACCCAACCAATCCAACCAAACGTATGAACGAATAAGAAAGAGCAAGCAAGCAAGCAAGTGTGTATAACGTCTCACGTATATATTCGTCTATCTTTTTCTATCTATTTATCTATTTCTGCCCCCCCCCACTTTTTTTCTTCATTCCCACCCCCCCACTCACAGACCTAATCCAACCCCCCACTGATATTTTGTGCAATACGCACGTATAGGTAGTTCTTAATGTATCGTCGTCAAATGTAACGCGTCAAACTTACTGTTATCCTGTTATTGGTTTATTGTATTTGAAAATATTGTCCTTTTTACTCATACCTTCCTGTTCCTTTGATCCGTTTGTTATCTCATCCACTGTATTCCATTAATTAAGTTCCTTGTTATCTGATCATTCAAAATGGTTTTTTATTAGCAAACATTTGATTGGTTATTAATACTTTAACGAAATGTATCAAGAATCAACGACACAAACTACAACTACACAACGACGACGGGGTTATCGAACTTGACCTCTTTTCCGCTTTCGCGAAAACGGTGTCGTGCCACGTGCAACGTGGAAAATTGCAGAGAAAGAAAGAGATAGATAGATAGAAAGAGAGAGAGAGAGAGAGAGATATATAAACTTGGTACGAAAAATAATGCCGGAAGTTTATGCTTATCGTATTATAGTTCATGGATATACATTTACATGTGTATGTGTGTGTGTGTGCATATATCTATAGTCGATAGTCCCAGCTTTGAAAAGTTCTATTAGCAAGCTATGGAATATATGCATATGTATATATGTGTGTTTGTATGTGTGTTTACGAGCGAACGCGTCCACGTTTTGCTGGAGGAAAACTATTGGATAGCTATGCACCGGCCGAGTTAAAATTACTGCTCGTGTGTACATATATATATATGTGTGTGTGTGTGTGTATATGTCGTTTACTCGGACGGTGGCGTTGAATCGCGAAATCGATGCCAACGCGTCTCGTTGCATTAGAATTTTCCTCGTTTTTCCTATAGAAAACCTCGCGAATCTGTTTTTTTTTGAACACCCATTAGATTTGTTGTTGTATTCTCTAAAATAAAAGTAATTTATCGAAAGATTTGTACAGAATTTATCTGACGATGAAATTATTTGTTGAGTTGCGTTAAACTGTAGGTAAACGTAATGGTGTTTGTGTGTTTATATATCTGTGTGTGTGTGTTGAATATTTTGATTAATAAAATGATCAATAGAAATCCTTGAACCCCCAAATCCTAACCTAACCCTAGTTTGTAAGACCATTAATGGGATTAATGATGAATTGATTCACCTGTTTCAGAATTAACAGAAGTCAACAACATGGAGTCCTGTGAAAAGAAACCACTGGTTAAAGATTTGAACGAACATATCGTCTGTCCACTTTGCAGGGGTTACCTCGTTGATGCTACCACCCTCACGGAGTGTTTACATTCCTGTTAGTATATTTATAATATGTATCACACTTATGCAAAATATGACCAAACATTATTTGTTTCACGATAATCCCATGAACTTGAAATGTTTCATTGTCAAAGTTAGTTAATTTGTTAACCGGGTAGTTTTATTTTTAATTATGTAGCTTTTTTTTTTTTTATTATTTATATATTTATTTATTATTATTTGTGGTTAAAATAAATGAAAGGACTATGAAATATATATATTTTTTTTTTCATTTATTTATAAATTAAGTACAAAAGTTTTTGTACGTTTAGCTTTGAAACAATACATTGGACGTCTTTATACGTCCCACCCTGGTTAACAGATTAATTTGTTAGTAAAAAAAAGGGGTCGACAAAATTTGCACAAGTCTTTTTTTTTTTTTTTGTATTTGGAGGTTAAATCCTCTTCCTACTTTTTCCAAGGATTTTGTCGCGTTCTCGATCAATATTTCCCGTCTGCCTCAACCTTTCAATTATTTAAACCGTCGAACTCGTCTCTCATTCTTTCCTTTTTTTTTTCTCTTTATCGTCTTTCTATCTAAAAATTCTGTCGAATATTATTTTATTAGACGAATCACGAGTTAAAGATTATTTCCTAGATACATTTTTTGCAATACCACCATAAGTGTCAGTATGTTTGTTCACGCGCAAAACAAGCAAGCAAGCAAGCAAAGCCCACATCACGTGTGGGCTGAGATTCGATTAGCCTATTAGAGTGGGATCGTATTTGTGGTTGGCTTTTTTTATTTGTGGGCGTTAACTGGTCATCCTAAAAATACTTCGATCAGTTTTGAAATATTATTTTGTATCTTCAAAAAATTTGCATTGCCAAAAATTGACCCCTTCATCCCTCCCCCCGCGAAAAAAAAAAAAAACTTTGTTTAATATTTTTGTATGCATCTCGTTACATGTAAAATTTAAAAATGATTTATAAAAAATATAATAGAATGAAAAAAACAAAACAAATTAAATAATTGATAAAAAAAAGAAGAAAGAAAATATTGGTACCGAAAAAATGGTACCTAGAAATATGAAATTTAGTTTGCAGAGGATGCATTGTCAGACGTTTGAGTAGCGGTGCCCGATTGTGTCCTGTGTGCAATGAATCAGCATCCCCACCACTGTTACCGGATGCACGACTTCAGAGATTGGTGTATCTGGTTGTACCGGGTTTGTATCGTTCAGAATTAGAACGCAGACGACACTTCCGTTTAGTAAATCCACAATGTCCGCCATTGCCGCAACCGTTCGGTGCATTGGAACTAACGTTGGACGATTTGGTTAGTTTGAGTCTTCGTGAGTTAACTGATACGAATAACGAAATGACAAGATCGTCAAAAATGTGTTTGGAAGATAATAATAAGGAAATTCGAGAACCAACAACGAGATACATGAAATGTTCGGCAGCCGTGACGGTCCGTCATTTGATTCGTTTGTTGACTTCTAAAAGAGGTTGGGAAGAAACTAATTCAGGAGTTAATGTCGCCAATAGGATTGAAATGAGTTGTGAGGATTACAACGGAAATGGTGATCACCGGAAACCGAGTGTTTTAGAACTGTCATGGACGTTGTTGGACTTGGCTTGTATCTTCGGTTGGAAACAGGTGAGTAAATGATGAATCTTGTTCATTTATTAATTCACAATTTTGATCATTTTCTTCCCCTACGAAAGTAAAGTGACACACGTGTGCGCACACGGGAGTGAAAAAAAATAAAAGATGGGTGGTCCTATTTTGTTTTTGGGTTACAGGAAGCACCATTGAAGTTATTTTATCGTATCGTACGAAAAGATGAGACAACAACAACAGCATCAACTTCAAAATCAAATCCTTGCAACGAAGATACGAACAAGGACAATCCTACGATGGAAAATATTCAAAGACCACCAACCCCACCACCAAGTCCTAAACCAGTTCAAGAAAATGAAGTTGAATCCCGTCGTACTTTTAATACTGGAACGGAAACGGTTCCTCATCGTGCATTGGAAAGTTCCAAAGAACGTGACAAAGAAACGAAATCAAAGAAACCACGTTGCGAGGTAACACCCGTGATGAGAGCACCGGATCCCGTTGGCATTTCATCGTCAGTCACGATGCAACAGAATAATAATAATCATGCTTCAGAGAGTTCAAGGACGAAGGAATTAGCAAGATTGGAACATCGAAAACGAAGGAAACGACGAAACAAACGAGTAATAGCGGAAATCACAACCACGCCGAGAGAGGATCTTCTTAAATTGAAGGTTAGGTTAACTCCTTGTCCACCGAGAATTACGTCCAGCAGTAGTGGTGGTCAAGCTAAAGAGAAATTATTACAAATGAGGGCCGTAAGACGAGAAAAGATCAAGGCCAGTTGTGCATTGAGTCAACAACGTTCGGTTAATTTATCGAGAGACGAAAATACTTCCAAGGAAATTCCCATGGAATCTGAAGAAACGATAGAGGATATTATAGATTGCATACCTGACGAAGTGGTACGTGTTGCGCAAAACATTTCTATTCCGCAAAATTCGCATGATGAAAAGAAATCACACGAGAAGAAAGATAATCAAAAATCATCACCCAAAGTATCGATTCGTCAGAAAGACGATACACCCAAATTGTCAATCGAAGAAGCCAAAGGAACAACAACAACAACAACTACAACAACGTTAACAACATTAACAACGACAACAACGACTACAACATCAACAGCAATCGTAGCAGCAACAGCAACAACAATTCCAATGGAACGTCCAAAGAAAGATGAAGAAATATTACGGAGGTTAGGTTTGGTTGCGATAAATGAAGCAAACGAATCATTAAGAGACAAAAGTAAACAACGGGGCCAAAATTACAACGACAAACCTAACGATTTGGATCGTGAAAAGTTAGAAAAACAATTGCGCGAGAGTAAAGCCAATCGCGTTAGAAGTTTATTAGCAGAAAAACAAATGCGTGATGCATTGAAAGGTATAATGTCGACTAAAACGAAAGAAGAAATAAATACAATAACAATAACAACAACGTCATCAACAACAACGGGTAGTACAGCAGTGTCCTGTCCAAAAAAGAAGGGTCCACCTCCGTTGGCACCTTTACGAGCGGTCAAACCTTCTTCCTCCTCCTCCTCTGGGTTCACAGTGACGAGTACAATGGTGGTGGATTCGAACAATCCAAAGTACGAGACACCTTTAGACCTGAGCAGCGGTGCCGGTGGTGGGACGACAGTTAACGACAACGTACTTGATTTGTCATCAACTTTGCAGAGTACCACCGTAGTAGGTTTTTCAACAACGTCATCAGCATCTTCCTCACCATCTTCTTCTTTTTCCTCGTCAAATTCATCATCTTCCTCTTCCTCATTATCATCATCATCATCATTATCATTATCATCTTCTTCTTCTTCTCCTACTTCATCTTCGTCTTCTCCTTCTTCTTCGTCTTCTTCGTCTTCGTCCATTTGTACACCACCTTCTTTGCCTTTACTCAGACCCCAACAAACCACCAGCACAACCACCACCACCGCCACCACCAATATGGGAAACTTCATTCGCAAAACTAAGGAAACGGAACAACGTAGAGGACAAGACACTAATCTACGAACATTATCGGACGTTGCTGTTTCACGTTTAAGCGGATGCATCAACGACAAGAATTCTTCATTGGTGGAACCACATCTACTTGGCTCTAATAGTATCGCTGCGAGCAAGGTAGCGTTACGTATACCACAACCACATCATCGGTTAACCTCCAATTATGGTATGAAAAATAAACCAAATCTTGGTATGAGACACATACCTAATCCACAAGCTGTTGTAGCTTCGCAATACAGAAATCAAAGGGCCATTTATTTCAATAGCATTTCGCAACATCCACCGTAACGATCGTCATTTGTGAATCATTTAGTCACTTAGGGGGACTTTTTATTTCATACCTAATCCTATTTTCTTCTTTTTATTACTTTTATTATTATTATTATTATTATTATTCATCCATTTTCTGTTATATTAGGGGGGACCGAGAAGTAATGGCGTCGTTACTACGCATGTCAAATTGTTTTTCTATTTTCAATCAACAAATTGATTGATGATTTTGATCGTTACGATTATTACAAAAAAATTTGCACAACAGATAGAACAAAGATTGTTGATAATGTGATTAATTTAATTTAATTATTGATTAATATAATAATAATTAAAAAAACTTGTTTGAATTTGGAGGTTAAAACGTGACATTACTTTCTGGTCAATTTAATATATATATATATATAAATAAATACCAAAAAAATGACATTCCTATAAACATTAATCATTCGCTAAACAAAAAAAAAACAAAAAAAAAAAAACTATAACTAGTAACGCTCCACTAATATATAATAATCTATAAATGTAAATGTCGCCGACAGGTGTTGTATTATCTGCAACCAAAAAAATCCTAACCTTCCCGATTAATGAAATATCAAAGATTTTTACCTAAAACTCGTATGCGATACATAACTGCCAATTAAGAAGAAACAAATAACGAAATAATGTTCATATTCTTTAACAGTGATATCGCCTAGTTGTTTTTTTTTTCCTTTGTAACAATGTGTTTCCTATTAAGCTATATATGTATATAGCATGTGTGAGTGTATGTGTGCATGATGTCTCTCTTGTGATAAAACTTAATAGAAAAAAAAAAGAAAAAAAAACATAATAACAAATGAATTTAAATTCCAAAGTCAAATGTTATTCAGTTGTTTGTTTTGTTTTGTTTTGTTGTTTTTGTTTTTGTTTTTGTTGCAAATTAACAAACATTTTTATTAACCCATTTTTCGATATTATACAGTTAACATTGTAAGATGCGTTGGTAAAATAATTTTTATATATTAAATTTTACCTAACCTATATTTTTTTTCTTTTTTTTTTTTTTTAATTGATTTTTTGAAATTATTTATAAATTGCAAGAGATATTTAAAAAACAAAAAAAAACCAACAACTATATTTCTATAAGAAACAAAGAAAAAAAGAAAAGAAACTAGAAATAATTTTCCTATGAGACGAGAACAAAACCAAAAAAAGAAAAAAAAACAACAAAACGAAAATAAAATATGTCGTATTTTGTTATGTGATATATATCTATATATATATATTAATTATTTTCGTTTGAAAAAAAAAAAAGAAAAACCAAAAAACGTAATTTATATCCATCCCCTCATCCCCTCATCCCTCAAACCCACCTGTGCACAATTACAGTTGTGCATATTTCTTCTTTATTATATCGTTTATGTTAGTTTTGAAAGAAAACCGGCATACACGCCATCTTAAAACCCGTATTATAAATTACTGTATACTCTAATTAAATAGATACATGTCTGTGTGTGTTGGTGTGTGTATGTATGTATGAATGTGAGTGTTTACGTTACGGTTTTACCCCCATTCTTTATAATAAAAAGAAAAAGAAAACAAAAAAGAACCAAATGAAAAAATGGCTAGGGGAAAACAAATTAAAGTTGATAAAGAAGAGAGAGAAAAAAAATGAAAGACAAACGAAAAACCAAAAAAGAATACAAGAAAAAAAAACAACAAATGAACAATGAAATGTTTCGTAGTAGAATAAACAAAAGAAATCAATCGTTCTTCGTGCACCTGTATGCGTGTGTGTGTGTGAGAGAGAGAGACAGAAAGAGAAAGTGAATTTATTTCTGACGATGCAGATATTATACAGTAAAACATATACATATATATATATATATATATATATAAATATAAATATACATACCGCATGTAAGTAAGTAGAAGAAGTCATAAAGAAGCAAACGGTGGTTGAACCAATGAACATAACCTAAAGGACAGCAGATGTCTCGTATCACCATAACCGCCCTTGCCATCTTTCTTTTGTTTTCTTTTGTTTTTTATTTTTTTTTTGTTTTTTTTTTTCTATCTTTAATCTTCTTTTTTTTCTTCTTCTTCTTCTTTCCTCTCATTCATCATTGTCCTTCTTTTTTTTTTTATTCTTTTTCTTTTCCCTCGTTTTCCTTTTTTTCTGTTTTTTTTTTTTTTATTTTTTCGTTTAGTCAAGTAAGTAAAGTCCCATGAAAAAGAAAAAAGAAAAATTAAAAAGAAAGAAAAAAAAAACAGGAGATGAACATGGAGAAGAACAAACTTAGAAACTTAGAATTAACTTAACCTTAAAATTAGTGAAAATCCTGTAATTCGTAGAGATGCCAAAGAACGAAAGTGAAATTGTGTGCAATGTATTAGTGCAATTTTTAATTATTTAATATTATTATAATAATAATATATACATGAAAATAAAAAAAAAAAAATAAACAAATTTATACATACATATATATATATATATACATAATTATCACGGTGTAACGGTGAATTAAAAAATAATAATAAATATAAGTAGAGACACATGTCGTTTGAATATACATATACATATATATATATCTGTAAAGAAACCCCCTCCCCCCTAAAAAAAAAAAACAAGAAACAAAGTCAAAACCAAAAAAAAAAAAAAAAGGGCAAACAATTTTTGTAAACGAAAAAGTGCTAAATGTTTTTATCTTTTTTTTTCTTTTTTTTTTTTTTGCGCAACTTTTATTATACAGTAAATTTTTGCGAAACTATGTGAATGATAAATAATTGATGTGTGTGTGTGTATGTGTGTGTGAGTGTCCAAGTTAGACAAAGAGACACTAAAGTATAGAAAAATAAAACAACTCGATACTATTGGCTATAGAAAATTCTAAAAATAAAAACCGACCCCCCACCCTCCTACCCTCTCCCTTTAACCTTCCCCCTCCCCGCCACCTACTCCCACCTTCCAATGTCTATGTCAATATCGGTAATAAATGGGGTTCGTAGTTTGTAGTGTATAAGAAAAAGTGAGAAGTTAACTATACCGATTGTATTGTGTATTATGACGATTATTATGACGATGATTATGATGATGAGTATGATGATGATGATGATGATGATGATGATGATGATGATAAGATTTTAGTGGGGCATTAAATGCTATATCAAAAATGTACGATCGTGTTTTCGTTGATCGAATAAATGAATAAAGGTTTAATCAATAAAAAAAAAGAAAAAGAAAAAAAAAACCAATTCAATGTTTTTGAAATTTTTACAGAAAACCGGCTTACCAATTCCTACAAAAAAAAAAAATAAAACAAGTAAAAAAAGAAAGATGATTTTACAGGTAATCAAGTTGAGTCAGGTTTGCATCATTTCACAACTGTTGTGAAACAGTTTTACACAGTTTTTTTGTTTTTTTTTTTTTGGTTATGTTTTATCAATTGATAAGAATTTTTCTGTATAATTTAAATAATATATTTTACAAAGATTGATAACAGTGCAAAAGTATTCAAAACGAGTATGAAATTATACAAAAATTGGCTTACCAATTCCTACGAAAAAACAAAAGAAAAGTAAAAAACGAAAGATGATTTTACAGTTAACCAAATTGCTTCAGGGTTGCATAATTTCACAATTTTTGTGAAATTAACTGTAAATATAAAAAAATAGGCTATTTTTAATACGTAATTATACATAAATTGAAGAAATTAAAGTTTTTTGGTTATGTTTTATCAATTGGTGCAAATTTTACTGTATAATTTAAATAATATATTTTACAAACATTGAAAAGAGTACAAAGTATTCAAAACGAGTATGAAATTATACAAAAATCAGCTTACCAATTCCTACAAAAAAAAAAAAATAATAAAAGAAAGATGTGGTTTTACAGTAAACCAAATTGCTTCAGGGTTGCATATTTTCACAACTGTTGTGAAATTAACTGTAAATATATAAAAATAGGCTATTTTGAATATGTGATAGTAAATGAATTGATTAGATTACAGGTTTTTTTGGTTATGTTTTATCAATTGGTACGAATTTTTATGTATAATTTAAATATAATTTATACAAAAACATTGATAAAAGTACGTAGTATTCAAAATGAGTATTAAAAAAGAAAAAAGAAAAGTGAGGTTAGGTAATATTGATTAATTACGTTTAATTGTTAAAAATT